CCCCCCCCCAGGACAGAGAAGTTCTGGCCCTTTGGCTTCCAAGGCCGTCAATCCTTCTGGAAGCAGACAGCTTCTTCTTTCTCTAACAAGTGGCTGGTGGGTTTGAACAGTCAATCTTGTGGTTAGCAGCCTGGAGCTTAACCCACAGCACCACCAGGGCTTTTAAAAGGCAACAATCCAACCCAACCCAACCCAACCCAACCCAAATTCGCTGCCATCAAGTCAGTTCTGACTTATAGCCACCCTAAAGGACAGGATAGAGCGGCCTCTGTGGGTTTCTGAGATTCACGTTCTTCATGGGAGCAAAACCTTCATCTTTGTCCCAAGGGCCTGTTGGTGGGTTTGAACAGCTGACCTTGTGGTCAGCAGCCTAACGAGTAACCCACTACGATACCAGGGCTCCTAAAGGAAACAAACACAGTGTAGTGATGTGAGATTTGATTTTTGAATCACCGCTTGAACTAATTTTCAATGATGGTTGCTTAGCCTGGGTTTTAGTGGATGGGTTCCTACGTGAATTATGACCAAGCATAAGCTTCCCTGAGTGACGCACGCAGTGAAGCACTCACAGAAAGCCTGGCAGGCCAAGCCCACGCAGAGATGCCTGGGAATCCGGGCCAGACATCTGCTTCTGGGTGGTGCTGGCCTGGTGAGCTCCATGGAGTAGCTCTACTCTGCACACGGAGGGTCTCCATGACGGGCGGGACTCTACAGACACGAACAACAGTCCCACAGCCAGCAGAGAGGCGTCCCCAGTCACCTGCCAGTGACACACACAGCCTCCCAGGAGTCCACCCACTGGGGTTGGTGGTAAGTGCCAGCCGCTGTACGGCTGGCGGGGGGCGATGTGTGGTCCAGTCTGCCCTGACGTAACCTGGAGCATGCTTCAAGGACAGCCTTCGGGGCGGATCAAAGCCGATTCATTGACTCCAATGCTCAGGGTAAGGAAAGAGGGAGACACACCTTGCTACGAACAGGGGCTTTCACACCTTGGACACCCGCCTTGGAGAAATACAGCAGGCTTTGTGCTTCTTCTCGGACAGGGATTTATTGGATCACCATCCCCTTCCTATTAGCTCCATGAAAACTCATCCTAAAAGATACGCCCTTTCTTTAAAGAGGAAAGAGGGGAGAATGATTGTTGGTGGAAGGTGAAGGATTACGATGGAATCTGGGTTACATGCAAGCAGGTTCCCATAGGAAGAGAGAAACAGTACCATGACCCATGAAAGCAACAATGGAAATACAATGCGACATTGCAGGTCCTTAAGCTGAAAAGAGAAGCCGGCTGGTCCTTTTTGTCTTAGTTGATTGTATCAACATGTCTGGGCATCTAGCACTTGGGCAGCATATAACACAGGGGATTGTGAAGCGGGGCCTCTTCTGTCTATGCTTAAAGCAGGTTCCTGGGTGGGAGCAC